CTTGTGTCTATTCACAATGGTAAGCGGGTTGACGTGTGGCCCAGTGTGGGTGCGCGATAAATACTGCCTTCTGTGACCTCCAAGAGAATGTGATGCATTGTCAATTGCAGAATAGTTAATTGTGCAGTTAAAGTAGTTTCTTTCAAGTTTTTTCTTTTATAACTGGCATGCTTGTATAACAATCAATGTCTCGTGTACTCCTCTTTTAATCCTTGGGATCTTTTCTCTTATGTACAGTCTGCAGGTCTTCCATGGACTGTGGCCAAAGGGCAAGATACCTTCACTCCTATTAGTGCAGTTGTAAGTAATCTAACAATACTTTATGCTCAGTTTTAAGGTTATCTATGCATATTGTGGGAGGGAAAGTAAATTCCGAACCTACTGACCTGTTTGCAGCTGTATCTAAGCCGTAAATGTTGCATTGCATATCTCATTTGAGTTTAAGTTTCATATGAATATAGGCGTCCATCCTTGTGAAAGCAACTCATGTTTTTATGACCTTGTTAATTGAGTCTAAGAAAATATAAAGACATGTCTTCGAAGAAGAGACTAGTATATTAGTATTCATCGTTTTAAAGTGTCTTGTAGGTGAAAGAGTAAGCTGTACCTTGATATATGTATATATTTTGTATGCGTATTCATTAAAGGGTGAAAAGGAGTAGTTTCTAAGAAGAAGGTCAACTACATAATTGATAGACAGACAAGACTTAAGAAGAAGGTCAACTACATAATTGGTAGACAGACAGAAAAAAGGGATTTGTTTCTAAGAAGAAGGTCAAATGCATAATTGATAGATGGACGATACTTTTCATGGACCCAAAGTCCAACCCAACTATCAAGTATTATATACCAAATCTTAATCTTTCTGTATTTATTTTCATTTTAATTGTCTTTTGCAGCTGCCAAAATCAGCAATCAGAGATCCTGACAATGTTGAGTTATGGTTAAAGGTGCTTAAATTCCTACTGTTTCCCTTCCTTTCCACATATTATAACTTATAAGATCAGTCCTTTTGTTCCTTAAAAAGTATTGAATAAGCAATCTTTTTCCCAGGTAGATGATGAAATCAGGCAGAAAGGATCTACTAGGGATATGATATTTAAGATCCCTTTCCTCATTAGTCATATCAGCTCTATTATGACACTTATGGAAGGAGACGTCATTCTGACTGGTAAGGGCCTTTCCCTTGAAGTATTTATTGGCCTTTAGTTCTTCAAATATATAGAACTAAGTAAAATGTTCTTTCTTTAAATTGGGACTATGAAATATTATTTATTTGGCGTTTATAATTCTTGTGTGATTGACTATAAAATGTTATTTCTTTGGACAGAGTATATGAACCAGCTAGATTCAGCGTGCTAAACTTGACCTTTGTAATCATTTCCTGTTAGTATTGGTTACTAATACATCGTTAGCTTTAGTTCATTAACTATTTAGTCATGCCCCGTGACAACATGTTGTTGGCGCATACGAGTTTATAACAACATAAAATTCGTAGTCTAGAGAACTTTGTGTAGTTATTTTGGTACTTTTTACTGTGCTTTTCCAATTCCAATGAAGACACTATTTTTAGTGCTGTATATTTCCCCCAAAAAAGGTACCTATTTTTCATGACATTTTGGTAGCAAAATGGTCAAAACAATGTCAGCCAGCAAATTAACGTGACTTGCTAGGTATACCATTGACTCTCGTGGCCTTTGCTTTGCAAGTTAACATGACTTGCTAGGTACACGATTGACAGGTTTCACAACTAATTTGTGAATCAAGCTTTCTTTCCCTGCCAAAACACTAGCATGGTTCTCCAGGAATCAAAACAACTTGAGTGAGAATGTCTGCTACCAAATCGGCTTAGGTTTTTGAGTATTAATTCTTGTTCATTTGTACCATTATCATGAGTTTTTTTGGCATTTCAAAAAAAAGTAAGATTTATTTCATTTTCATGTATGTATACCCTAATTTACCCCTATCACCATTATGCAGGTACTCCGCAGGGTGTTGGTCCTGTGAGAGCTGGCCAGAAGATCACAGCAGGCATATCAGGTATCATAGATGTCCAGTTTGATGTTCAAAAGCGCCAAAGAGCAGCAAGCAGTTAAGTATTCAGGAAATGGTGAGCGATTATTTGTGAGAATAAAAAACCCTGCGCTTGTTTTATTGGTTGACTAGTTTCAAACTAGATTTGCATAGTGGGAAAGGGTAAACTCCAGGTGAACTAAGTTTAATCATTTGCACTTGATGTTATATATTTCTTCCATTTATGGCTTGTCAAATGTCTGATACTGACATAACCTTTTGGTAATAACAGTTAGGTTGTATTGATGGCTTACTATTGTAAGTAAGAAGACTCGTTCATATATGACTGCAAGAGTACGATTTAAGCATTTTCCATTCCAAATCTAAACACTGTCCTATTGGGAACAAAGTCTCCGTCTAACTAAAGAATCTAAAGCAAACAACACTTTAAATTGCTAACCAAAGAAGTCAGAATCCAGTCTCTCTCATCTCAACACTAGTTCAATGTTTCACTTTGTTAATTTATACCAAAATAAATTTTATCTTTTTCTCCGCATGTATGCATGCCTTGGTGTGTTAGGAATTTCTTTACATAGGTATTTTACTTTCTTTTGGAACAATGTCGGTGGTCATCTCTGAACTTTGGACTTCTCTTACTTGATTTCTCTCTTTATCAGCGAGCCAGTATTTAGTGACATATCCCAAATGTTATTGTTCCTTCGGGAGCTGGCCAAAGATCTATGCAGTTTGTGTAATATTGGCGCTATATTTCAGTAATAACACATAGGGACTTAAATTGTTTAACACTCTAGTCCGGGGAAAATAGGATTGTAAGATGGTATGTCTTTTCTTAATCATCGAAAGTGGAGAGAAATGCAACAATTTACATCATTTTGTCCATAACACTCCAGTATAGATTTATACTTCTAAGTCACCCAAATCTGCTACCTATATACTTTGATATAACCTCCAATCAACTTTAGCCATTGATCTAAATCTTTGACTATCCGTATTTCTAACTTCTTTGTGCTTTGATTTTTATACGGACCCATGGATATCCCCAAAGATCTTCATCATCATTGCTTGTGCTCCCCAACCACAACCAGAGCACTACCTCCGGGTACTTTGATGGAGCAACACTTGGCCACTAACCGCTGTTATCGTCAACGTCTTAATTACCTGTTATATGCAATAGAAGAAACGAAATGATAATTTTCAAAAGGGAAATATGTTATTAAGGAGACACCTTAGATTCAATCTTAAAAGCATCACACCATCTTTTTAAGTTGAAAATCTTCACTGCCAAGTTCATTTTTGTGAGACTATTCCCTCAAAGACAACAACCCTATAACTTTTCTTTAGGCCTTGAGTTCTAAATGTGAAGTTGTTACTTTTGTCTTTCTTTTTCCACTGAGTTTTGCTTTGCCCCTGTAGTTTTGCATACATGAAAATTATAGAATTTAAAAGAAATACAAGACAAATGTATGGTTATCATTGATTTTTTAAGGGTGAGGGAAGTTCAAAATTCGTACATTTCGTTGTGTTCTCTTGTTTTGAAACCAAATTTGACTTGGAGAGTTTTCAATCTAAATCTTTTCAGTTTTCATAAATCATAATAAGGGTGCTAAAAGAAAAGAGTTTTAAATTATTAGATAGATTAATAGCAGACATTGAGTAGAAAAATATACGAAGTAATTCAGATGGATAAAAATGTGGGCCATTAAGGATCACCCCATTTGCTCTATCTCAATTGTCATTCTCATTATCTTACACACACACAAATATGTATATGTTAAAAATTCTTTACTGAAAAAGAAAATGTGATTAGTATAAACTATAAAAACTAGTTGAAATGGAAAAGTTCTTAGAAATAATTTCTTAGACAATCATAATGTTATAGTATTCGGTATAGAGATTCAATTAGGTATCATAGACAATCTTAATTTTACCGTATAAACACAAACTCCCAAAATTCTAAAGAATCAGCTACATAAAAGGAATTTATAAATAATCAATTAGCTACAAAAGATGGAAATTACTTTTAAGATCCATATAAAATATTAGATCAATTAGAAAATATAATCAAGAAAACAAAAACTTATTTGTGTATAAGTACCTACTTTCATAAATCATAATGGATGGAATTTGTGTTATAAAAGGTAAGAAGATTTTTTTCTGTACGAGAATGAAAAATAAAAAATTTCTCAAAAAAGAAATATTTTCTTGCAAAGTTTAATAAATAAACAAAAATAGATAATCATATAGGACCCCAAAAACTGTAGTTGTTATGCCATGCCAAAAAAGATGGAAGAAGTGATACAAATCTTCAAAACTTTTAATTCAGTCATCATCTATCATTACCTCCATCATCATCATATTCATCGATTGGTGTTTCATGTGTGATACCTCCCACATCAAAATGGATTAAATTGGTTTCCAACTAGTAGTTAGGGATAATACCTAATAGTTATACTGTTGTATCAATAGTATCACAACAAAGTTGTGGCCTCCAAAATCTCTTCGAATGAAAAAGATGGCCTAGATGAAGAGTACAACTGTACATATTTTGAATTCCATGATCCCGATTCATTAATAACCCGATTGAGATAATGTAAAACATTGGAGGAAAAATCTTATAGATAGAAGACATTAACAATATATATGTATGAAACTAAATAAAAATTAACAATAAATGGGAGAAGAGATAATCAATGTGAAATGAAAAGAAGATAATAGTTCAAGATTAATTATAGTTACCTGTGCAAAGGTAGGACTTTGTTGGGATCGATCTCTGTACCTCTGGCATCACTTTTTCGAAGGAAAATCTAGCATCACTATGAGACATGGATAGCCTCCTGCTTCTTCCCTCCAGAATAGAATTATAGGAAGCTTTCCATATCATTTTATTGTGAGAACACATATTCTCCCCCCTCTCCTATTTATAATAGAATTAAGGAGTTGTTGCAACGCTCTTGTTCGGAGTATCAATTTCCCAAATCTTTGATTAATTTTACCTTACCTAATTCATTCAAATGGCTTCATGTGCATATGTTCTGATACATCCTCTCTTCATTTCCTAACATTGCACTCCGTTATGTATATAATTCTTAACTGGATCATGTACAGAATCTTTGCAGAAGCACCTCTGTATGTGCATGAACCAGTTCATTAACCAGGACCTACAATTTTCCCAATTACAGTAACCACAAGGAGATCACGTTTAACTCAATTTGGTCATAAATTGTCTTACAAACTCCCAATGGCAGCGAGGTAGGAAACTAAACATCAATTACATTTGGTTATATTTTGGTTCAGAAGTAAATACAGCTACACTGACCTTGGTTCCTAATATATGCGATTAAAATCCTATATGAACTCAAAAGTCGACAGAAGAAACAAAAACAACTTTTATGATCAACATGGAAGAATGAGCATAAATGTGACAGTGCTAACATGAAATTTTTTGCTCAAGAGATAATATGTAAATGAATAATGTATTTGGAGGAAATTTCTAATTTCATCCAGGTATCATCATCTGGTACTATGAAGAATGCAATTATATTATAATTTGCTAAAGAACATTCAATATAGATGAGTATAAACTATAAAGCATTTATAGGACAATTTTGTGCAATACAAATGTACATTATCGTAGAACTTGACATTAGGTTGTTTACATCTTCAATCGAAATTCAGATGTCATCCAGGACATACATGGATTCACATACATCAAAATAAAATGTCATACCTTTTTATATCCCTTTAGATCATAAAATCGACACTATAGATTGCAATAACAGAAGAAATGTAGGCCTCACATGAAAGTTAAGAGCCGTTCAACATAGCCAAGGAGACTGCCTATGAGCCCACATAGAGACCTCAATTTGTCCTTTAAGCTAGCTCGAGCTCGCTGAAGGTAATTAGGCACCTCATCTAGGATTTAGGCAAGTCATCCTTTGCTACCAAAGCTAGACTTTTATCCTTATGTAAGGCCTCTCTTCGAAGTCAGGTTGCAGTTTGTTATGCACAATCCTTTTTTGCTTCACATTGTCTACGTGTAGGATTGGCTATCTCTGTTTCAGAAAGTTGTCATTGTCAATGATACCAAACTAGGTGTCTACTTAGTGAAGCTTTTGTTCTCTGAAATTGAGATGGACTTATGTTCTGCCACCTGAGCACGGAACAATGACAATGAAATATTCTTTTTTTCTTTTCTTGGGCAATGCCTTTAACACAATAGGAGTGGCTATTGACATTCTTGTCACTGACATTCTTAATACTCTTCTGAAATAGTTGAATTGGATTTGTTTGAAAGAATGATTATAAAGCAGCTGAGATAAGAATGGACATCTATGATTTTTTCATGATAAGCGTGAACATTTCCTAAACCCTAATTCACTACTACTTATCATATTTTCCTGTTTCTAATTTTAAAATAGCTACAATTTCAAATAAGATGGTTATAATAGGATCTGTTGACGAAATGACATCGATATCAAGAACATATCAGTAAACATAGAATGTGTAATTTCTTAATGGATTTTTTGTTTGCTTATTTTGGTAACTTGAAAAGGGGAAAGGGGCTAGTTTCAGTAGAATATTCTGTACTTTGTCATATTTGTACCCAGCGGTTGAAGATGTTGATTTTGTTTTTTTAATCCTCACTCTTTTGCAAGATATCATGTTTGACTAGTCAATGAACCATCTGTCACGATGCATTTGCTATGCGGAAAATTGAAATGATTGAATAAGTTGTTCAGTTAATCGGTGTATTTAGACTGCATATGACAGTTTCTATTTCATATTGAGAGCATACTAGATCAAGTTAAACTCATGAAATAGGAGATGTTTCAAATATTTACATATTTTTAGGAGATATTTAAGGAATCCACACCATTTTGAAGTATCTAATTGTATCATCTAGGGAGGTTTTAGGATGTTGCTATATCGTTTGAATAATGGGTTGTTTGATGGAAGTTGTGAAGCAATTATGAAGAAATTGGTTTCCCTCGATTGGATTCCTCTCTATTTTCTCATAGACTAGTTAAGGATATATTTGAGGTTTTGGTTTTGATGAGAGGTTCTTAACTTCTGTACTAAAAAAATTAGCGGATTTTTCTCCGTTCGGATCATAGGCTGTTAGTGCTTGATTATGTGGAACTTTTCTTTCTTTCTTCTTGAATGTGAATTCTCAACAACTTTCTATGTGCTCCATCTGTTACAATAGTAAATTGTTTGCAGCTTTCTGTTTCATCTGTAATTAGCTAGGCACAAAGCAAGTCAGGTTATTTCATTGTGTGCTCATAATTGTTGCATTTTTGTTAAACCATCTATTGACTAACTGAGCGAAACGATATTTACAGCATCCATGTTTTACAGTATGCATGTATACAATTTGTTGTTGATTATTTCACAAATCAGGTACACATAAAAATCATACTGAGGAAAATCTTCATATCACTATTAAACTCAAATTACTGAAATCTAAAGAGAACTTTCATATAATGCTTAAAATTCATAACTCTTCTGGATGGAAGCTTGACTTTCTCTCCCCCCCCCCACCCATCTTTTAATATTCTTCATGTTGACCGTTGTTGATGGCTTTCATGAAATTCCATCTTACCCCAGTTTCATAGATTTTCCTGAGAAGGCAAGAAAATAAGAGAGCAACTGAGCACCTCTTCATTGGTTTTCAATATGGTTATGGCTATTTTGCTGTCCAACTTCTACATGAAATTCCTGATAATGCGGCTAGGTGTTAAAGGAGTCACTGATTAAGCATTGCTTACTAGTTTCCTTGAATATTTATAACTTGCCCTGCATCAAACAGAATTATGTGTCTCTTTCAGGAATTGGTAGTACAGGATCATTCCTCTCTCTTGTGGTGTTTATAGCTCTTACTTTCCATGGCACTATTTATAAGAAACCTTCTTATCGTAAAACCCATCTTTGTTTTATAGTCTATTGATGATTTCTTCATCGCATAAGCCATAAGGGATATTCCAATAAAGTACGTAGATTAAGGTTGCAAGGTACCTATGAATATAACCAATTTTTCCTCTTTTGAGGTCTTTCAATGGTCGTGGTAGCATGATATAGTGCTCTAAAAATTTTCTCCTCTGAGAAAGGATGCTAAAGTTCTTAAGATGCGAGCATGTAGAACAAGAGTCCAACTACTGCGTAACATGTTCATTTGTCTACAATCGACATTGAACTAAATCAAATATTTGATTCCTCCTCTGGATTTGACTCATCTTCTGGATGAAAGAAAAGAAAATGTTCAAGGATTCATTTATTCTTGGGGCATATTCTAGGGATGATCATGGGCAACTGGATGCAGTCCCACTGCTCAGCTGAAAACTGATTTCTCCATTTCAGCTGGTTTCTCCATTTCAGCTGAGCAGTGGAACTGTGCCCAGTTGAACAGGAGAAAAACAGTTTTAAGCTAAACTGGACACAGTCATCTGTCATAATGCATTGGCTCTCTTGAAAATTGAAATGATCAAATTGGTTGACCAGTCAACCTGCTAGCCATGAAGTTGAAAACTCATGAATTAGGATCTATTTAGAGATATTTCAGGAATCTATTAGTAATATTACTAATAGATTCCTAAATCAAGTTGAAAACTTATGAATTAGGAGCTATTTAGAGATATTTCAGGAATCTATTAGTAATATTACTTATGGCGATATCTAATTATTTTAGGATGTCATTGTATTGTATAAATGAGTTATTTGATGAAAATTGTAAAGTGATTAGGGAGAATTATTTTTCTTCATTAAGGTTATAGTCAGTTTTCTTATTGAGAGTTAAAAGGATGTATTTGGGGTTTTTTGGATTTTGGTGAGAGGTTCTTAACTTTTTTTTATTCCTTCGATAGTTAACTGATTTTCCTCCTTTGCTCATGGTCATAGACTTTGTTTCAAGTAAATGACACTATTATATGATTTCATCTTGCACGCGATTTTAACAATACCTACAGTACTTATACTCATTGATTCAGGATTCTCAACAATGGCCTGTGTGCTACATAAGCGAATCGTTTGCAGCTTTCTATTTTGTCAAACTGTCATATTGCTTGGACGAGTGAATGGATATTTATAGCATCCAAATGTTATCATTTTTTAGGTAATGCTTCCAGTGTCCAGCTACGTCATGCTGTATATGCTTTTTGTTGATTATCACACATCTCAGTTACACATGAAACCATATTTGAGGGAAATTTGTCTCCAATAACTATTAAGGTCAAATAACTGAACATCTAAAGAAACTTTCGTGCATTGCATAAGTTCATACAATTCTTTGCAGGATGGAAGCTTGATATTCTCTTTTTCCTTCTCTTGTACCCTTTTCTTTTCTTCTCTTTTCTTAATATTCTTCATCTTGAACGCTTCTTGCTTGCTTCATGATTCCCATCTTTCTGAACTCAGTTCCAAAGCTTTTCCTGAGAAGGCAAGAAAATAAGATAGCAACTGCACACATCTTCATTGGTTTCATATATTTAGTTATAGGTGTTTTGCTTATAGTACAACTTCCGCATAAAATGCTTGATAATGCAGTGAAAGTGTTAAAAGTAGTCGAGAAATGACCAGAAATAAACATAAATAGCTACCCTATTTACCTGACATTTTCACGGGACTCCAACTTTATGCATGAAACCATGAGATGAAGCCTATTCTTATATCAGTATCTGCATTATACGTGAGTATTTACTGGATATACGGGCTCACCAAATACAAACAAGTACTGTGAATTGTACATATATGTACATAATATTCACTCAGACAATGATTTGAATGCCAATATAGTTTGTCCTACCTTTGCTAACGCCTTAGAAACCATATTATGATCACCAGAGCAGATGTAAGTCTAGCATGAAGTATAAGAGCCACTTAACTTAGACAAGCCGACTGCCTATGAATCCACATTGCGATCTGCCTTTTAAACTTTGCTATCTTTCTAAAGAGAGTACATGCAAGTCATCCTTGGCTACTAGAGATGAGTTCTGTATCCCCATATAAGGCCTCTCTTCCACTTCAAATCATTATTGATGTTTCATGTACTCTTGTATGATCTTCTACATCCTAGGTCTCCCCGTTCCGTCATATGGGTTATGTTCTTCATGTAGCATTCAGACCGAATGACTATGAAATTATATTGATACTTCCACATACTACGGGTAACGTAGGAGATATCTCTAGTTTTCCCAGGGGATCTTTATAATTACTACTGCTTAGCTTTCAATTTGCCTCTGAACATCAAATTGATACATTATTATTATTATGAGAGGAAGATTTATTTCTATAAATTGAATGAGGTGAACTCACTCGCTTTCCTTATAATTGTAAATTCTGCTGCTCATATAACTCATATAAGAATCCCAAACTGATAGTGATGTAGTGTAAGTTGTTAACCAATGAATCCAAGCCCTTTCCTCTCAGAACTAGGACATAGTTCACTTTGGAAATTGATAACAAAACAAATATTGATATTTCGCTTTTTCTTTGGGGAGTAAGGATAACCTGTTCTTGAACTTTGGACTTCTCATAGCCCAATTACTTTATTCAGGGAGTTGGATCTTTGTGGTATATACAATGTATTACTGAAAATAACCAGGTATGGAAATTACGTGGCCCTATAAATGGGTAAAAGGAATAGAAGTACAAGATGACATTACTTTTCTTAATCATGTAAAGTGTGTGAAATACAAAACTTTTACATAATTTTGTTGCGATTGGTTCTTTAAGCTGTGAACCCCTACTGTATTGGAAGGGCATAAATGTATTGAGTGTATATATATCATGAAGTTTTAAATCTATAATAATTTTAATAAATCTAGGTATGAAAGTCCAATAGATATACATGATGCGAACCTTTTCTAATCACATTAATCTCATAATGTTAGAGTATTAAGGAAAATGCTAAACCTATCTCAAACATTCTTTTGTAACTCATGAACTTAAAAACCATTAAGATGAAAAGAATGCTCTAGTTTGCTGTTGTACTAAAATCTATTTTAGTTTTCAGGCATTTTGCAAATGCACCCTTTATACTGTTTTTTCAGCCACCTATACCTTAACTTATTTTATTATCATTGACAGTCCATGTACTTTAGATGACATTATTTTCCCCATTAGATTAGATGTCACGTGAGAATATTGTGACAATGAATTACATTTTTTCCCCTTAGTTCAGAGGGCAATTATTTAGCTTGATTGTCTAAAGAAGTAAAAATAATGATAAAAGAAGTAATTTAAACCTAGTATAAATCGGAGAGGGGAGAGAAGACTCACAATAAAATGATATAGAAAACTTCATACACTATTACTGCGGAGGGAATAAGCAATTATTTAGTAAATTATGATAAAAGAAGTAATTTAATGTTGCTTGATTCTCATGTGACATATAACATAATGTAAAAATATTGTCACGTGGGTTTTAGAGAGTATAACAGCCAAAACATCTGCAACATTTTCATAGTTTAAAAACTTACCAAAACTTTAGTGGATGAAAGTTTTCATTGGATAGTACATCTCATACATAATCTATAATTTATGTCAAATAGAATATTTTCTGAATCCACACTGATCATTTTGTTCATAACACCAAAAAATAGATTAAGGCTTCTGAGTCTCTAAACCTACTACCTATATTTTGATATAATCTTTAATTGATATAATCTTCAATCAACGTTAGCCATTGATCTAAAACTTGACCATCCATGTCTTGGACTTCTCTTACTTTGATGTTTATACTAATCCATTGATATCCCCAAGATCTTCATTGTTGTAGCTTGTGCCACCCATCCAGAGCACTACCTGTGATACCTTGACGGAGCAAAACTTAGCCACTAACCTCTGTTATCCTTTGAGTAAACAACACCTTAATTATCTGTTTCACGCAACAAAAGAAAGCAAAAATGAGAATTTCAAAAACATAAAAATAAATTATGTAAATATTTAAAAGCATCATACCATCTTTTAAAGTTGATATCTTCAATGTCAGATTTATTTTTTGAGAACCATTCCCTCCAAGACATAGGAAACCTCAACTCTTCCTTCAACCTTTAGTTGTGAATGTGAGGTTGCCACTTTTTTCTTTCTTGTTCAATTGAGTTTTTGCTTTGCCACTGTAGTTTCACGTTCATGAAACATTATGTAATTTTAGAGAAATTTAAAACTGAAAGATATTGTTATCACTGATATTTAATGCAAGGAAAGTTCAGAATTCATGCATTTCGTTGTGTTCTTTTGTTTTGGAACCAAAACATGACTTGGAGAGGTTCCAAGCTAAACTCATCAGTCTTCGTAATAAAGGTTCTAAAAGAAAAGATTTTTGAATTATTATATAAGTTAACACTAGACATAGAGTAGAAACATATACCAAGTAATTCAAATGGATAAAAAAGCTTGTCATTAAGGATTGCCCCATTTGCTCAATCTCCTATGTTATTCTCATTATCTACGTACACAGACGCACACGAAAAAAAATTCTTTCTTGAAAAAATGTGATTATTATAAAATATAAAAATAGTTTGTGATGGAAAAGTTGTTAGAAAAAATTTCTTAGACAATCATAATTTTGTATATTTGATATTCAGATTCAATTAAGGAATGTAAAATATCTTAGTTTGATCATATTTGAGATAAATATTTCTAAGGGATGATATGAATTAGTGTTACACAAAAATTGCAAGTATATTATGGCAATCAAGATTTTCATCGGAAAAAGCTTACTATAAACACCCCCTTGAAATTATGAAGAGTCGATCATATAAAAGGCATTATAAATAATCAACTACCAATGGAATTACTTTTAAAATCCAAATAAAATATTGGTCAATTAAAACTGAAATTAAGGAAAAAAATTATTTATGCATGAGTACCTACAGTCATAATTCATGGAGATTTGTGTAAAAATGGGGGGTTATCTTATTTTGAGAAGACATTTTTTTGCATTAAAATGTAATAAGTTTCTAAACAAGAATGGAAAAAGTAACATTTTCTCAAAAAAGAATTCAACATGCATGAATAATTATGTCTTCTTGCAAAGTTTAATGAATAAATAAAAGCATATAATCATTACAGACTGTAAACAGTTTATTGCTATAATTCTTATGACATGCCAATTAAGATGGAAGGAGAGATACAATCATTCAACTCCCCCCCCCCCCCCCAAAAAAAAAAAAAAAAAAAAAGAAAAAAGAAGAAAAAACCCAAAACAAATTCGATCATCATCATATTCATCTATTAGTTTCGAAGCAGTAGTTTGAGATAACACCTGATAGTTTAGCTATTGTTAGAGAATTACAGCCAAGTAGGGGTCTCCAATTTATTGCAATGAAAATGATGGCCTAGATGAAGATTTGAATTCTATGAATCAGATTCATTAATAACCTGACTGAATAATGATACAGAAATAAAGCATTAAAGGAAAAATCTTCTAGAGAAGAGATTGAACATATATATGTATGAAGCCGAATAAAGTTAATCCTATATGGGAGGAGAGATTAGGCAAAGTTAAACGAAACTAAGCTTAAGTAGATCAAGATTGGATTATAATTTCCTAACTTCCCTACAGTTTTAGGACTTTGATTGGATCGATCTCTGTGCCTCTGGTTACAAGATCTTCAAAGGAAAATCTAGCATCGCCGTGAGGTGTGGATAGCCTCCTGCTTATTCCCTCCACAGTAATAGTGTATGAAGTTTTCCATATCATTTTATTGCAAGTCTTCTCTCCCCTCTCCTATTTATACTAGGTTTAAACAAGTGGCATGTTGCACTTGCTTGAACTATTCATTCCCCAAAATGTTAAACTATACATTCCCCAAATTTTTACATTAAATTTGGCCTTATATAATTCACTCAAATGGCATTCATGTATATACATTCTGATACATCCCCTCTTCTTCTGCCTCCTAACATTGATGACCATCATGTACGATTCTTAACTGGATGTACATGAATCTTTGCATAAACCCCTCTGTATATGCTTGAACCTGCTCATCAACTATGACCCACTATTTTGCCAATTACAGTAGTCACAAAGGGATCATGTTGGATCAATTTGGTCACAAATTTTCTTACAAAATCCAAATCCCATTGAATTAAAAAACTAAACATCAATTACATTTGGTTACAAATTTTTCAAAAGTAAACACAGCAACATTCTCCTTGGTTCCTAATACATGTTATCGAAATCCTATATGAATTCCAAGCCAATAGAAAACAAAAGTCACTTTTATGACCAACATGCAAGAGTGAGAATAAATGGCAAAGTGGTAATATGGAAATTTTTGCTCAAGATAACATGAAAATGAAGAACATGTTTGGAGGAAATTTCTAATTTCATTCATTTATATCATCGCCTATTGTGAAGATCATTAAATTATATAGTTTGCTAATGAACACTCAATATAAATAAGTATAAAGTATTTATTGGAAAGTTTTTGTGCTATACAAATGTACATTATAGTAGAACTTGATATTAGGCTGTTTACATCTTCAGATATCATCCAGGACTACAGTGCATGGATTCACATACATCAAAATAAGCCGTCTTACCTTTCTATATCCCTTTAGATCATACGATTTACACCATGGATGGCAATACCAGAAGAAATGTAGGCCTAGCATGGAAGTTAAGAGCCACTTAGAATAGCCAAGGAGACTGTCTATGAGCCCACACAGAGATCTCAATTCATTGTTTGGTTTTGCTAGCGTAAACAGCCAAATACCTCATTGAGGATTTAGGCAAGTCATCCTTGGCTACCAAAGCTAGGCTCTTATCTTCGTGTAAGGCCTCCGTTCTAAATCATGTTGCAGTTTGTTTTTCACAATCCCTATGGTTCATTCTCTGCTTAATAGGACTGGCTATCTCTGTTTCAGTAAGCTGCAAAGATAACTTTTCGGAGGTCTATCAGGAATTTTCTTATCTTTACGCCACGAGGAATATTTCTCATGGTCTAAAGAGGTCAATAAGTCTATATTTTATAAGAAGATATTGTTGTAGGAAGAACAATTTTCGAAATTCTTGTCCTGGATTACCCAAGTTTGTCTTCTGAGTTCTATCAAAGGTCGCGATATCACAGGAATTGTACTTAAAATCTTGCTTCTAACCGAGAGAAAAGATGTTGAAAATGTTTAAAAGTTCTCATTGTCAATGATAATGAAGCTTTTGCTCTCTGAAATTGAGTTTGACTTCTTTTCAAGGACCAAACAAGCAGATGTAATATTCTTCCTTTCTTTTTGGCCTAGTTGCGCTCCTCCCTAATGGTTGATTATGCCCTTTACATGAGGATGACAGTTGATTTTCTGCCTGCCAACATTCTTGATACTCTTCTGACCTTATTGAATTGGATTTCTTATAAAGGATGATTACTTAGTAGTTCATTTAAGATAGACTAATATATATTATTTTTGGGATAAGTGTGTATTCTTCTCCTAAATATATATTATATTATAGTGGATCTATCTAATATTATATATATATATATAATATATATATATATATATATATATATATATATATATATTATTGTAGTCTTTTCACTCATATATGTTAAGATCATAGACGCATAATTTTTCTGGTGGAAAAGTAATAATTCAAAGATCATTTTTATTTTTTATTGCATCCATATTTTGGTTTATTTCTGCCTTAAAAACATGCATACATAATTATTTTCTCTAGTTAGAACCCGAATAATGTGTTCAATAGTCTAGATTTTTCAAATTCTTATAAGATCTCTGATAAGTTTCTCCTCCTCAGTTTAGGATAGTTACAGCATCCTTTTTTCTCAACAAAGATTGCTACAAGAGTAATTGTCAATGAACAGAAGAACGTACCCATCCATGTAAGATTAGCCTTCCATGGACCGTCAAGAAGGCTAATAATGAAAAGAAGATACCAGGATATAAATGAAACTCAACAGTAATTTTTATTTCTTTTCATGTCACTAAGTTGATACAATATTGAAACGAAAACAATAAAAACAGAGGGGTGTAATTTCTTTATGAAATTTCTATTAGTGTTTCTTTTTGTTGTCTTGAAAGAAGTGGGAGGCTAGCTTCAGTTGAAGGTTCGGTACCCACGTCATATTTGTACCCAGCAGTTGAAGTAAGTGATTGTGCCTAGAAGTTGATAATGAGTAATCTGTCATAATGCATTGGCTCTCTTAAAAATTATAATGATCAAATTGGTCAACCAGTCAATCTTGTATTCAGTGAATTAGACTGCATGCAGTAGTTTCTTGTTTCTCACTTAGAATGTCAAATGAAGTTAAAAGCTCACTATTTTTATAGATACTTCATGACTCATTTGAAATTACTTCTGTGAAAATTGAGCCATATATTCTAGATAGATTTTAGGATGCCATTGTATTCTATAACTAAATAGCATGTGATGAAAGTGATTAAGAAGAAATGTTTTCTTCATTAGGATTCTTCTCTATTTACTCATCGAGGGTTCAGAATGTATTTGGGCTTTAGATTTTGGTGGGAGTTTCTCAATTTTTATATTCCTTCAAATTATAGCGAGTTTTCCTCCTCGTCCATTCATTGACATAGTTTTTTTTATTGGTCACAAATGCATGATGTTTCTTCTTGCATATAATTTTCACAATATTTGCAGCACGCAACACACAATCCTTGATTCAGAATTCTCAACAACTCTCAGTTTGCTACATAGTAAATTGTTTGCAGATTTCTGTTTTATCAATAACCACACAGGCAAAAACTACAGCCATATTATTCCATTGCATCCTCATAAATGTGGCATTTTGTGAAATTATGTTGTATTGATTTGTAGATTGAATGGATATTTACAGTATCCAGTGTTTATCATGTCCTAGATAAGACTTCCAGTACGTTCTGTTGTCGATTATTTGGCATTTCAAATACACATGAAATCATATTGAGGTAAAAGTTCATCTAACTATTAAGCTCAAATAACTGAACATCTAAACAAAGATATCATACGATGCTTCTTCAAATGACTGTTCTCAGGATGGAAGCTTGATCGTCTCTTTTCCTTCTTGGGTACCCTTTTCTTTTCTTATGTTCTCTTAGTATTCTTCATCGTCAATGGTTGTTGATGTCTTTCATGAAAAAATTTCCACTTTTCTGAACTCAATTCCAAAGCTTTCCTTGAGAAGGCAAGAAAATAAGAGAGCAACTGAGCACCTCTTCATTGGTTTTCTAAATTTTGCTTTGTCCAACTTTTGCATATAATGCGTGATAATGCAGTTATAACTTTTCTAGTCGAAAAATGCATATTACTAGCTTCTTTGGTTAAGGATTGTGCTAAAAAGTTTTCCATATTTCTTTCCTTAAGTACTTGTAACTTGACTATGTGCGGTGATATATGCTTCATGCCGAGAAATAAGCATAGTAAGGTACACTATTTACCTCAAGAATTCACGTCATTCCCAACTTCATGCCTGGACCATGACATGAAGCCTCAAGCCTCATTCTTATATTTCTATCTGCATTATGCATGGTTGTGTACTGTATGTGCATTTTCACCAAATACAGAGAAGCAAACTCAATGCTACATATGTTTACATAATATTCAATCAGACAATTATTGAAGAAATGCCGCATAACCTATCGTACCTTTGCTATCTCCTCTGAAACCACATTATGTTTGCAGGAAGAGAAGTAGGTCTAGCATGAAGTTTTCAGGAGTAGTTTCTTAAGGAGTAGTTTCTAGTTTTCAGGTCGGACTACTTTTCTTCATCTCAATGTTATTCTTCACAATATTTTTAACCGAATATTTCTAATTTTTTGATGATTTCTTATGAATGCATTAGGGTTTGGTGATTTTGATGGATTCTTAGCTAATTCAAGTAAGGAGTGCTTGTCTCATCTCAAAGGTACAAATTTTTCATTTTATTGAGAATTCTGTTCTTTTTATTTAGTGTTCAGAATCCGAAGCAGTCTCGTTTCAATCGTCCAATTGGAAGAGATAAACCGGAAAGCTCGAACACTCTGCACGTCTTCGATATTATGGCTTAACTAGCTAACATCCCAGCACAGATAATATTGTATGAGTTGCTATGGTTGTCTAAAGAAACCAGGGAAGCTTTGCAAGAAGCCTTGGCCAATTCAGAAGTGTTCCTTACTCGGACAACTTCATGCCTGGACCATGACATGAAGCCTCAAGCCTCATTCTTATATTTCTATCTGCATTATGCATGGTTGTGTACTGTATATGCATTTTCATCAGACACACAGAAGCAAACTCAATGCTACATATGTTTACATAATATCCAATCAGACAATTATTGAAGAAATGCCGCATAACTTATCGTACCTTTGCTATCTCCTCTGAAACCACATTATGTTTACAGGAAGAGAAGTAGGTCTAGCATGAAGGATAAGAGCCACTTAGCTTAGCCAAGGAGACTGCCTATTAATCCACATCGAGATCTCAAATCTTAAAACCGATAAGATCTCTGAAGACGATGCAGGCAAGTCATCCCTGGCTACCAAAGATAAGCTCTCCATCCCCATGTAAGGCTCTCTCTTCCACCCTAAATCATTTGTGATGCGGTCGCCTCTTACTTCCCATGCCACTATTTATAGAAAACCATGTACTCGCTATCGGTAGCTTTTTCAGGGACTGGGGAATATATTCTCATGACCTAAAGCTATGAGATTAGCAACGATGTTTTGTGGTTAGGGTTATCTGGTTTGTTCCGACTTTGCAACCTTAATTATTATGCAGGTAATAATTGCATGTAATTACAACTGCCATCATATATGCAGGTAATAAATGCATGTAATTGCTGTGTGTTTGTTTTGGAATGTCAGGTTTTTCGAATTTTTGCTCAAGGTTGAGCGTGTAATAATTCTATTTGCCACTTGGAAGATCGCCAGCGACTTTCTTGAATTTGCGCGAGTAGTCGGGGGTGCGACTGAGATCTTCCCCTGCGACTATAGTTGCAACTGTACTAGTTAGTTGCAGTGAAATAAATAACTCGAGCTGCCCGAAACCGTTACAGTTGCACGCAACTGCAGTTACTAAGTAGTTACCTACGATTATACACGAATGATGTGTCCTTTGAAATCTCTCAAAGGCCAGGCAACACGATATGGTACCCTAGAAGTTCTCCCTCTGAAAGAGAAAAGATGCTATAAGTATAAGCTATCATCCTAAGAGATTGGCTTCCGTGTGGTATGAGAGTCAAACGATTGTATGCGGTACGCTTTATCTTTCCTAGCTAGTGTGTTGTACGTTCATATCTCCACTGTCCAAGTCGAACTAAATCAAATATTTGATTCTTGGCTTCTCTCTCGTGGGACAAAAAAAGGGAAAATGTTCGGAGATTCATTTGTTGGAGCGTATTCCAGAGATTACCATTGATATTCTCTAAATTCGTCAGCGCAAGTTGAAATTCTATTGGTGGATAATCAACTCCACTGATCTATGCATCCCATTCTTTAGAATAAGGAGATAAGTTAGTTCTGAGATATATAAATGTAGCATAATTTTCATCCCCAAACAAAATAATAGTCCAAGCAAACCCTTTTGATAGATTTCACATACACACATTATTATTATTATTTCATACGATATTGTGATAATACACTGATGACCGAAAGACAAAAAAAAAAAAAATTATCTGCTCCTAACCAAGGCATCAATGAGAAACAAGAAAAAAATCAGCAGCAAGATGAAATTTAGAGTAGGGTGGGGAAACACGATTCATTGAGAAGAGCTAAAAAAAACTATAACCTATTATTTCTTATCTCATCAGTCTCGACATTTTACACTAATAAGACTGTTGCCAGGTCACAGCAACCGGACTCCGAACTACGTGCTTCCCACTACACCAAACCACCGAACCGAACTCTGTTCTTGAGCTCCCCTTTCTCAACCCCACCACGCTCTCTCCTGAAACCCTAACTACAAATCCTAGCTTCTGCCCTTTCTTGCTGAACGCAAGCTTCTGAGGCTGCACATCCATCTCCGCTCCGGCCGGATTCTTGATGCTCACCGTGTATACCGCCTTATCTTCGCCTACGTTGGTCACCGTCCGATGAACCGTCGCCTCGTGCTTCTCGGTGCCCGATTGCTCGAACATTACCGATATCGAGGGGTAGTTCAAGTCCCAAGGCGCGGTAGTCGAGTTCTTTGGGCAGTCTACTGATTGTCTAGCGATTGTGTCGATGTCCTTCTTGCTGTAGTTTGTGCTGCATAAGAAGTTGACATAGTCATCGACTGTTATATCGTAGATTAGGCCTGGATCAACCGCCTTTTCGGGTTTCACGTGCCCCGACCCCACGGCCCATCCGGTCGACACGATACCGTTGGTCTCGTCTGTAATTTCACGACCCAGATTGTCCGTCACGGACGC